CCAGAACTTAAAATATAGTTACAAAAAGAAGAAAGTAAGTATTGAAAGTTACAGGGGTGGTGATTTAACATTCTTAAAACAAATAATTTTGAACCCAGAATTTCATACCCAGCCAAACTAAGTTTCATAAGTGAAGAATAAATAGAATCCTTTACAGACAAAAAAATGCTGAGGGAATTTGTCACCACCAGGCCTGTCTTACAAGAGCTCCTGAAGGAAGCACTAAATATGGAAAGGAAAAACCTGTACCATCCACTGCAAAAACAATGCAAAATGTAAAGACCATTGACATTATGAAGAAACTACCTCAACTAATGGGCAAAATAACCAGCTAGCATCAGAATGACAGGATGAAATTCACCTATAACAATATTAATCTTAAATTTAAATGGTCTAAATGCCCCAATTAAAAGGTACAGGCTGGCAAATTGGATAGTCAAGACCCATTGGTGTGCTGTATTCAGGAGACATATATCATGTACAAAGACACATATTGGTTCAAAATAAAGGAATGGAAGAATATTTACCAAGAAAATGGAAAGAAAAAAAAAAGCAGTGATTGCAATCCTGGTCTGTGATAAAAAGCATTTTAAACCAACACACATCAGAAAAGGCAAAGAGGGGCATTACATAATGGTAAAGAGATCAATGCAACAAGAAGAGCTAACTATCCTAAATATATATGTGCCCAATACAGGAGCACTCAGATTCATAAAGCAAGTTCTTAGAGACATAAGCTCCCACACAATAATAGTGAGAGAATATAACACCACACTGTCAATATTATATAGATCAATGAGACAGAAAATTAACAAGGATATTTAGAACTTGAACTCAGCTCTGGACCAAGCAGACCTAATAGACATCTCCAGAACTCCCCACACCAAATCCACAGAATATACATTCTTCTCAGCACCATGTAGCACTTATTCAAAATTGGACATAATTGGAAGTAAAACACTCCTTAATAAATGCAAAAGAATGGAAATCATAACAACCATCTCTCAGACCACAGTGCAATCAAATTAGAACTCAGGATTAAGGAACTCACTCAAAACTGCACAACTACATGGAAACTGAACAACCTGTTCCTCAATGACTACTGGGAAAATAATGAAATTAAGGCAGAAATAAATAAATTATTTGAAACCAATGATATCAAAGACAAGACCTAACAAAATCTCTGGGACACCACTAAAGCAGTGTTTAGAGAAAAATTTATAGCACTAACTGTCCATAGGAGAAAGTGGGAAAGATCTAAAATTGACTCCCTACCTTCACAATGAAAATAACTAGAGAAGCAAGAGCAAACAAATTCAAAAGCTAGCAGAAGAAAAGAAATAACTAAGATCAGCACAGACTGAGGTAGATACATGAAAAACCCTTCAAAAAATCAATGAATCCAGGAGCTGGTTTTTTGAAAAGATTAACAAAATAGCCTGATAGCCAGAACAATAAAGGAGAAAAGAAAGAAGAATCAAATAGACACAATAAAAAATAATAAAGAGGAGATCACCACTGATTCCACATAAACACAAACTACCACCCAAGAATACTATACATACCTCTACCCAATTAAATGAGAAAATCTAGAAGAAATGGATAAATTCCTGGACACATACACCCTCCCAAGACTAAACCAGGAAGAAGTCAAATCCCTGAATAGACCAATAACAAGTTCTGAAATTAAGGCAGTAATTAATACCCTACCAACCGAAAAGAGTCTAGGACCAGACAGATGCATGGACAAATTCTGTAAGGGGTACAAAGACAAGTTGGTACCATTCCTTCTGAAACTATTCCAAACAATAGAAAAATAGTGACTCTTCCCTAACTCATTTTATGAGGCCAGCGTCATCCTGATACCAAAACCTGGCAGAAACACAACAAAAAAAGAGAATTTCAAGCCAATTACCCTGATGAACATCAGTGCAAAAATCCTCAAAAAAATACTGACAAACTGAATCCAGCCGCACATTAAACAGCTTATCCACCATGATCAAGTCAGCTTCATCCCCGGGATGCAAGACTGGTTCAACATATACAAATCAATAAACATAATCCATCACATAAACAGAACCAATGACAAAAACCACATGATAATCTCAATAGATGCAGAAAAGGCCTTTGATAAAATTCAATGCCTCTTTATACTAAAAACACTCAGTAAAACAGGTATTCATGAAACATATCTCAAAATAATAAGAGCTGTTCATGACAAACCCACAGCAAATATACTAAATGGGTAATAGCTGGAAGCATTCCCTTTGAAAAATGGCACAAGACAAGGATGCCCTCACTCACTACTCTTAACATGGTATTGGAAGTTCTGGCCAGGGCAATCAGGCAACGGAAAGAAATAAAGAGTATTCAAATAGGAAGAGAAGAAATCAAATTGTCTCTGATTGCAGAAAACATTATTATATATTTAGAAAACCCTATTGTCTCAGCCCCAAATCTCCTTAAGCTGATAAGCAACTTGAGCAGTGTTAGTATACAAAATCAATGTTCAAATATCACAAGCATTCCTATACATCAATAATAGACAAACAGAGAGCCAAATCCGGAGTGAACTCCCATTCACAATTGCTACAAAGAGAATAAAGTACCTAGGAACACAGCTTACAAGGGATTTGAAGAACCCCTTCAAGGAGAACTACAAGGCTCTGCTCAAGAAAATAAGAGAAGATACAAACAAACGAAAAAGCATTTTATGTTCATGGATAGAAAGAATCAATATTGTAAAAATGGCCATACTGCCCAAAGTAAATTATAGATTCAACACTATTCCCATCAAGTTCCCATTTAAATTAGAAAAACCTACTTTAAATTTCACATGGAACCAAAAAAGAGCCCATATAGCCAAGACAACTCTAAGCAAAAAGAACATATCTGGAGGCATCATATTACCTGACTTCAAACTATAATACAAGGCTACAGTAACCAAAAGAGCATGGTACTAGTACTAAAACAGATATATAGACCCATGGAAAGGAAAAGATGCCTCAGAAATAACACATCTACAACCATCTGATCTTTGCCAAACTTGACAAAAACAAGCAATTGGGAAAATGATTCCCTATTTAATAAATGGTGCTGGGAAAACTGGCTAGTCATATGCAGAAAAGTAAAACTGGACCCCTTGCTTACACCTTATACAAAAATTAACCAAGATAGATTAAAGATTTAAACATAAGACTTAAAACCATAAAAACCCTAGAAGAAAATCTAGGCAATACCATTCAGAACATAGGCATGGGCAAAGAATTCATGATTAACACCAAAAGCAATGGCAACAAAAGCCAAAATTGACGAATTGGTTCTAATTAAACTAAAAAGCTTATGTACAACAAAAGAAACTATCAACAGATTGAACAGGCAACCTACAGAAGGGGAGAAAATTTTTGCAATCTGTCTATCTGACAAAGGGCTAATACCTAGAATCTACAAGGAACATAAACAAATGTACGAGAAAAAAAAAAAACAAAAAAAAAAACAACCCCTTCAAAATGTAGGTGAAGGATATAAACAGACACTTTTCAAAAGAAGACATTTATGCAGCCAACAAACATGAAAAAGAGCTCATCATCATTAGGTATTTGAGAAATGCAAATCAAAACCACAATGAGATAACATTTCAAGCCAGTTAGAATAGAGATCATTAAACAGTCAGGAAACAGATGCTGGTGAGTATGTTGAGAAATAGGAACATTTTTACACTGTTGATGGGAGTATAAATTAGTTCAACCATTGCGGAAGACAGTGTGGCGATTCCTCAAGGATCTGGAACTAGAAATATCATATGACCCAGCAATCTCATGACAGTGTATATACCCAAATGATTATAACTCATTCTATTATAAAGAAACATCCACATGTATATTTATTACAGTACTATTCACAATAGCAAAGATTTGAAACTAACCCATATGCCCATCAATGTTAGACTGGATAAAGAAAATGTGGCACATGCACACCATGAAATACTATGCAGTCATAAAATAGAATGAGTTCATGTCCTTTGCAGGGACATGGATGATGCTGGAAACCATTATTCTCAGCAAACAAACACAGAAACAGAAAACAAAACACCGCATGTTCTCATTCATAAGTAGGAGTTGAAAAATGAGAACATATGGTCACAGGGATCAAACATCACATGTGAGATCTCTCTCTCTGGCCCCCCACACCTCTCTTTCTCTACCTATATATATATGGCAGATGCCATATTTAGTCATTTCTAGAAAGGCAAAATTAAATATCTCAAAATGTATATAAAATTATTCAAATTCATTTTATCATAAGAATGCAGGGAGACTACGATATGATACAATTCTACACAAAGCCTAAAATATTCTAATAATGCCAATAAAAACAGTTTTTCACTGTTTTTAAGAGTGCAGAAATTGTATTTTCCAAATGAAATTAAAAAATAATTGTGATTTAGTAAATGTGACAATGTTTACACAATAATTCAACAAGTCTATTTCTAGGTATGTAACCTAGGATAGTACTAGTGCTTGTGTACTTAGAGAAATATTTGAAAACTTTAATGTCATTGTAGGTAAGACAAAGGAAGTAAATAGCCCGAATATCTATAACCAGTAGAATGATAGATAAATGTTGGCATATTTTGAAGATGAAATATTCTATAAAATGAGCAACAGATACATGCATCAACAGGAATTACAAATATTATGTTCAACATTTTCAGGAGACTATACACAATATTATTTTACCTATTTAACATGGAAACTAAAGAGCATTTTATTCAGGCATACATACAAACAAAATTATAAACTAATGGCAAGGGTGGTGAATAAAAATCTGAGAATTTTGAGATAATTGATTGGGTGATTGAAATGAAGATGTACTGGTACAAGCACAAATGTATCAGTAGTGATCAGTTACCTTAGTTATATAATAGGCACATATGTGCTCATTTTATTATTTGTTGAATTTCACATATCAAATAAATTTAATCAAAAGTAGCTTCTAACCTGTTTGTCAGATCCACACATGTTCCATTATTTTTGCAAGGTTCAGAGGAGCATTCATTAATTTCAATTTCACATAAAGATCCAGAAAACCCAGGTCTGCAAATACACCTTTTAAACATAAAATTTAGTAACTCCATTAGTATAGATGTATAAAATCAATGCTTAAATGAATTACAGCATGGCAAGTTTTCAGTAAGCATAAACGTTGCTTAATTTATCTATTAAAATTCTATACCTAGAATTATCTAGACACATAAACATGTATCTAGATACTTTTTAGTTTTCTGTACCTGAAATTGTTGACCATAGCTTCACAGTCACCATAACCCTGGCAGGGAAGGAAGAGGCAGTCATTCACATCAATTTCACAGTGTTTACCTTCAAATTCTGCAAAGAGTATGAGATAAGTATGGATGAGCAATTCTTATGAAGTAAAAAACATCAGAATCAATGGTAGTCTAAAGAATACGCTCATAATGGAGGTTAAAAAAAGAAAAAGAAAATAATTAATCTCAAGCTTCTCATAAAACTCCATTTCACATAATGTGTGCATAAAAAAATGCCAGTTTCTTGATTAATTAGTTCAAATGAAAGAATCAAGGGAGCAATACTTTACTAAATCCCCTGAGAAGGTAGAGATGTTGCTAATGTTGCTGTTGTTTTAAGGTATTTAAATGTTTGAATAGGAAAAATTGAAATGATCTGGAAAGCAAATGAATTAATGTGATGACCAATCTCAAAGTAAAATGGAGCTTCAATGATCAAATTTATTCCAGGCAGTTAACAGATGAGGCAAATTACTTAATTGCTTTTTATATCCAAGTGATTCAAAGAAAACAAATTATTTTGATTCATAGCTACATAATCAGTCATCCATTTAAACACAGGCTGATATTTAAAAAATGAACGTAAAAGAAAATTTTACAGGCTGATAAAAGAGGCAGTTTTAAGTATTCCAACAGATTTGTGTCAGAAAAAACCTGCATTATATCACTTTTTAAAATACAATTAAATATATTAGTATTTATAGTAACCAGTTAAACAACTATATGGTTATATATTAACCATAATAAAATATACGCTTAAAACCATTTTTCTTGTTAATTTCTTTTTCTGTACCAGTTCAAAAACATAGGAAACAAGAGTTCCATTTCTTCTGCTTTTTCAGTGATATTACCAAGTACTAAATAAATGCAGCAACATGATACAATATTATAAATGTCAATATGCAGTCAGACTAATTTAGTTTGAGGAACAAAGGGTCATTTGAGTTAATTTAAGAAAACTATATTCACTGTTTGCATACACAGACTGGAATTGGGACTGAGAAGCATTAAAAGGGAAACAAAGTCTAGCTACCCAGGAATGGCTGACTTCCTTTCATAGTACCTGTCCTTTATCCTTCTCCTATCACTTTTTCTTCTCTTTCTATCACAAATATTTCAGCATGTTCAGTTTCAAATCACTTGCAATGTTGGCATGCGAGTGACAAAATACAGCATCATTGGTCTCTATGTATATATTATGACATTTCATCTTCAACACCTATTGTTCAATGAAAAATTCTCTCGGTATTTTCTCACTCAGATTCCTACAATAGAACATGGAATTGACTGCCCTAATTCATCTTTTCACATCATACCATGCCACAGCCATTGCCATTCTCTGTGGTATCTACCATTGGATCAAACTGCAAACTTGCCTCTCGATGCAATTTAACAGGGAGATTGGTGTTATATCTTACAAAATCTGGCAGCCTCTTTGGTAGGATATGATATGGAAAACAAAAATTACTTATTCCAAAAGAAAACAAAAAAGAAAAATAAACAAAGTACAGATACAACAAATAGAAAACAAATAGCTAAATGGTGTATTTAAAGCCACACATATAAAAATTACATTAAATATGATTTTAAAAACTCCAATTAAAAGGTAGACACAAACTAAATAACAGAAGAAACCACATAATATCTAAAAGGAATTTATTTAAAACATAATGATAGGTTAACATTTAAAAGATGGAATGATTATATACTATGAAACACTAATTGTAAGAAAGTTGGGGTGCTTATGTGTCTAGCAGGCCAAGTGGTTTTCGTGTCAAGCAATATTTTTAATTTTCCTTATTTTTCTTACTCAATTCTCAGAGCCTGCAAATGAATCTCTGAAGTTACATTTCTGCAATTCATTCATATGATAGATGTTACATTGTCGGTATTAGAAACAAAATTAAATGAGTTACCTCCAAGTTAATAGGCTCTCCTCACTTTAGGTGAGAAAACTGTAATTGTTCCAACATGCTTCATCATTCTTGGATCACCATTGCTATTTTCTATATTTAGGTTGTAAGTGTCACAGTACAGTTATAAACAACTTGGATTCTATTTGCAAAAGATGTTTAATTCTTTAAATATTTGATTGTAGTTCGATTTTTCACAAATTAAAAATTTAGAAAGTTAGATCCATTTCACCATTCCTACTTTAAGCCTGGTTAGTTTTCTCTGGAAGGAGGGCATTTTGACACTGAAATGACTCTTAAAAATGTTCTGTTAAGGCAGTGGAACTCAGGGGCACTGACTGGCTATAAAGAAATGCCAGCAAGCCTCCATGATTTCAGCTGTGCTGATGAATCAGAACACTCAGGGCGCAGGACCTTGGATAGCTCACAGGATAACCTTGTTTCCCGTGATTTTGCTGTATTCATTAAGTTTGACATTTCTGAGATGGAGTTTTGTTACCAACCAGCAACATATGTCAATGGGTTGAGGAAATGAGATTGCTAAAATGCAGTAGATATTGGCAGAAAAAAAAAGTATATGTGGATTGCATTCAAAATTAACCAAAGCTTTGCTGAGAGAGCTTACGTTTTAAGGATTTTATGAGTGAAATGTATATACAGTCATGAGCTGCATAAGAACATTTTGGTTAATGACAGACCACATTTCTAATGACAATGATCTACAAGATTATAATGGACATATAAATGCAGCAGGCTATATCATCTGGGTTTGTGTCAGTACACTCTAAGTAGTTCATACAACAAAATTGCCTAGTGATACATTTTTCAGGATACCCCCTTTTGTAAGCAATCCATGACTGTGTACTTAATCCCAAACTGCATATTCTATAATTCTTGGTGTTAGAAGTTGATGTTCATTTCTGTGAAGGGTACCCGTTTTGAATATATGAAGTTACAGCTAAAAGACTATTCAAACAGAAAGTTTACTGAAATAATTTTATTCTGTTCCCCTGTTCTTTATTCCTACTCAGCACTATCTGGTTGACTCTATTTTGATAATTGCAGTGAGTTCTTTACATGCATAACAGTGAAGCATTTTCAAATGGATACTGTCTTGATCCTTTTCTTACACTGTCTCATCTGTGTATCGCTATAGCAAATACACATGAATGGTTAGTAAATGACATTATTTGTATGCTTCTTCACTCGCTCCTCCAAAATACACGAAATTAAATTTTAAAGCCTACTGTTCAAATTTAAGATCTAAACCCATGTGGATTGTAGGTATTATTTTAAAAATCATTTATTTTTTTTTCTAACAAATTCAGCCTTTTTGCACTTTGTGCTCTAGAAGGTATTATATGGAACACAGTACATTAACAATAGTGAAATTTTTATAAAAACATTTTACATAGCATTTTATCTTTCAGGACTATATTTTAACAACGTTCACTTTGGAATTGGTATTAGTTGGAGTAATTTGAAATGAATGTGAACAGAGAAAAAAAAACTAGTGTATATCATAGCATGAATTCAAACAAGGTAGTTAAAAATCATATATTCTTAAATAAAAACTAGAACTCTTAATGTTGTTTTTCTTTCAAAAGTATTATTTCTATTTATTCTTGATTAAATAATCTAATTTTTCTGAATTTAAAAGCTTGATAAAAAGAAAACAAAAAAAGATCTCAGGCCGGGCGCCGTGGCTCAAGCCTGTAATCCCAGCACTTTGGGAGGCCGAGGCGGGTGGATCACGAGGTCAAGAGATAGAGACCATCCTGGTCAACATGGTGAAACCCCATCTCTACTAAAAATACAAAAAATTAGCTGGGCATGGTGGTGCATGACTGTAATCCCAGCTACTCAGGAGGTTGAGGCAGGAGAATTGCCTAAACCCAGGAGGCGGAGGTTGCGGTGAGCCGAGATCGCGCCATTGCACTCCAGCCTGGGTAACAAGAGCGAAACTCCATCTCAAAAAAAAAAAAAAAAAGATCTCAGAAGTTTCCATTGGCAAGTCAGACTTTAAAAAAATGTTATTTAAAAATATTTGTATTCAAATATTAACATTTTCTAAAATAATTAGCCAATATAAAAAATTCTTCAAATTTAACTTTAAAAACTATGAAATAAGCATATAAAATATTTCCAATAGTCCCTGAGATTTTTAACACTTATTTCTAAAGCGCACTTAAAGAATAGAAAAGCCAAGATTTTAGAATGTAATAAATATTTAACATGTTTAACGTTTAATTATTCATGTGTCTTCTTTAAGGAATTTTCTAAATTCAAATTTGTACAACTATTAACCTTAATAGGTATGCGCTACAACATGGGTACATGTTTTTAATTGTCAACAGGAGTAATTTCTAATTTAGACAAACTATTTTGTCAAATGACACATTTATTTGGCACTTGTAATTGTATACCTTAGGTAATGTGAAATTACCATAATGATGGTATATATACTGAGTAATAGACACATTTAAATGCAACTACTTGTCTCCCCTGATACTACAATTCCATCAAGCTTAGGCTCCCAATTGTAAATCAATAGCAAATGTAAATGATCTGATTCTGTTTTCACTACAGCACCTTGCAAGGCATCTTTGCCACATTTTAATTCTGTCATTTAAAGAAACATTTGTTCCTTTCACCTTGAAGACATACAAAGTGGCTATTTTAGAAACTAAGCTTTTTATATGAAATTAAAACATATTTGATAGCATAATTTTTTGCCTATAAACTGAGAAAATAGTAATTCAAAGTAGAAAGATAAAGAATCATTTATAAAAAGAACATTAGTAAAGAAATGTATATCGATAGTTAAATAATTTCCTATCTTTTAACTAGACACACACATGCCAAAATAATTCTCTGTATGGCAAAAAAACACATTTTCATGCATTTCCTTTGAAGTCATCTTTACCTTCTTAATCTTCATGTGGTTTTGTGATTATTATTATTATTATTAAAGACAAGTTCTTGTTCTGTTGCCCAAGCTGAAGTGCAGTGGTGAGATCATAGCTCACAGTGACCCTAAACTCCTGGGTTCTAGTGATCCCTCCTGCTTTAGCCTCCTTAGCAGTTAGGACTACAGGGATGAACAACCATGCACAGCTAACTAAAAAAAAAAAAGTACAGATAGGAG